TGCTATGCGGCGCTGCCGGGCGGTGCGTGCCGCTAGGCGGCCCGCTGTGTGTGCTGCTGCCTATGGCTGTGCCGCCGTGCGTTGCCGGGTGGTGTGTTCATAACAAATTATTACTTAAACTCTAACTAATTAGCTTAACTAATAGTAAATTAAAAATCACTTAATTTACTTAGTTAGCTTAGTAACTTTATTTGCTTAATTAAACTAATTTGCTTAATCTCTTTAATTACTTTATTTTCTTATCTTAATTTACTTAAGTGACCATAACTTAATTGACTTAATCAATTGCTTAATTTACGTAGTTGGCTTAACTTACTTATTTAGATTAATTAGCTATGTTTATTTTATTTACGTAGTTTGACAGGTTAGGTGCCAAACTGACTGGGCCGAGCTGGGCAGGTTAGGTGCCGAGCTGCATGTTAGATGCCGAGCTGACCAGAGGGCTGAGCTGGATTGATTGTTGAGTTTCGTAATTCTTTAGAGACCTGCAAGGAATCAATGTCAGAGGACCCGGGGTGGCTAACCCGGCGAGATCACTCCGATGCCTAAGTCAGTACTCTCATAGTAGACTACGAGCTAAAAATCATAAAGTATGAGAGCTAGAATATACTTACTTGCCCCCCTCCATGCCATTGGGGTTGGTGCCTTTATATAGGCATTGTTTGGCATGGGTTTCACTTACCGTATCCGAGATTTCCGAGAGGTCGCCTAAGTGGTCCGAGATTCTTGGAGACAACCGCCATGCACGTTGACCACCCTCCGGATCGTTCGGTACGTGGGCCAACTTCCAATGATCGTGGGAATGTTGGAATATGCATGCCGAATTTGTCGGCGAGCACGTCTCGTAGGTCACCAGGTTGGTGCCTGTGCCAAGTCGCCAGGTCGGCGCCTATGCCAAGCCGCCAATTCGGCACTTGTGCCAGGCCGCCAGTTCGGTGCCTGTGCCAGGTCGCCAGGTTGGCGCCTGTGCCAGGTCGCTAGCTGGGACACCATCATCTTGGCTAAGGCAAGTTGTTGCCTAAGTGGTTCTGAATGTCACCTAGTTGTTCCGAGATTCCATGTGTCACAATGTCATTGGAGGGCCAAATCCGCCCTCATCAGAAATCGATAAACAGGGACGACGATTCTATCTAAAATCGATAAATGATTCTGGTTCCTAGTTATCTTCACAAATTAAAGGGTATTTTTGGTATTTTTGAAAAAAAAATCAGTCACGTGATGTCATATGTGATCGATTGTGATGAAAAGTTAGCGGCAGGAGAAATTTTAGACAATTGTTAGAAACAGTAGAATACCTTAAAACAATACTCAAACATTTAGAATACTTTAAAACAGTACTGAAACATAGGAATAGAATTAGTCAATTTCCTAAACCTTAGGGGTAGTTTAAAACATTTGCCCTTAGAATAATCACCTATTTTAATATTTTCCAAAAACAAATAAGTGCTTATTAATGTAGGCCAGTTACAAAATAAGTGCTCATTCACTTCATTCTTCATAAGTAATTTTTTTTCCAAAGTTAGCCCAAGCCTTCACTTCATTCTTCATAAAGTAATTTTTTTAAGCACTTCCAAAGTTAGCCCAAGCCTTCACTTCATTCTTCATAAGTAATTTTTTTTCCGAGTACAGTCATTTACGTCGCCTTCCCCGCCCCTCCCGGACAATTTCTGTTTCAGCCCCTACGATTTATAAATAAGAGAGTAGACGCCACATCCCTACCCACAGCGATTTAGAAAATTCTTCGTCTCTTCGCTATCAATGTTTCTTACAGGCATTCTAGCGAACGTTATTCGGATGCTAGTGATCAATTCTCAAGTAGTGCATAATGTGGCATGGCTGAACTCAAACTGAAATAAACAATCACCAACACCCGCCATGGTCTCCTACCTGGTGAAGCCCGCTATAGAGCATCAGTTTCGGTGGTTCAGTAAAAGCTACAACTCATGGGCTTCCGCCATAAGAAATGCTGCTTCTCCTTACAAAGCCTTGCACCTGTACACACAAATGCAACGCCAGGGCGTCCCTTTCGATAGCTTCACCATCTTATTCACACTAAAGTCCTGTACCCATTTAGAGAATCTCACCCTTGTCCGTCATCTTCACGCTCATTTACTCAAGCTTGGGTTTAACTCTCACGTTTACGTTGCTACATCGCTACTCTATGCATATGTTATTGGTACCTTCCATGATGCACGTCTCTTGTTCGATGAAATGCCCGAGAAAAACACTGTCACCTGGAATACGATGATCACCGGCTACTCCAAGGCCGGTAATGTCGAAAAGGCTCGTTCCCTCTTCGAAACCATGCCTGTTAGGGACCTTGCATCGTGGTCTGCCATGATTGCTGGTTACATTAACTCTGGCAATTGGGACCAAGGACTAACACTATTTCGAGAAATGATGGTAAACGAGCCATTGAAACCTGACCAGGTGACCTTAGGGTCGATTTTATCTGGGTGTGCTCACATGGGCTCTCTTGGGTTGTTGGTGGGCAAATCAATACATGGTTTTACAGTGAAGAACGGATGGGAACTGAATGTGGAACTTGGAACAGTTCTGATTGACATGTATGCTAAGTGTGGATTCTTAAAAAATGCATGTCGAATCTTTGTGAAGATGCCGGAGAAGAACGTTTTATCCTGGAGTGCGATGATCTGTGGGTTGGCCCAACATGGATACGGTGAAGAGGCACTCTCCTTATTTGAGGAAATGAAAGCAGCAGGCATCAAACCCAATGAGATCACATTTACAGGGATTTTTAGTGCATGTACCCGTGCGGGTCTGGTTGATGAAGGCAAGAAATATTTCAAAGACATGATTGAGGAGTATGGCTTGGAGCCAAGGATTCAACACTATGGATGCATGGTTGATCTATTAGGTAAAGCAGGGAGGCTGGAAGAAGCTTATGAGGTGATCAAGACAATGAGACTTCAACCCAATGTTATAGTATGGAGTTCTCTTTTAGCGGCTTGTAAGATGCATAAGAAATTTGAGTTGGCTGAGAAAGTGATCGAACAGGTTATGCAGGTTGTGAAGCCAGATAATGATGGAGGTGTTTATACTCTAATATCCGATTTATATGTTTTGAATGATAAGTGGGATGATGCAGAACGGGTCAGGAAATTGATGCTCAACCAAAATGTGAAGAAGGTCCGAGGATCTAGTTTCATTAGAAATGGAGCAATGTAGGCATTCATCATTTCGGTCTCTTCACTGAAGCAATTCATGAACTTTAATTGGCAACTGCCAGACAAACCTACAACCCAAGCAGATGGTTCTTGGTCACAACATTGTAATCTAAACTCCCAAAGAGCTGTCATGAATGATGAATCATTTATGGACTAAGCTGGAAATTGGGCACACCTTGACTACAGTTACTACCTTTCATTCTCTTTGGTAGAGGTAGAAGGCAGCCTTTGAAATTGCAGAGATTAAGGAATTTGTACTTGTAGGCTCTTTTTGTTAAGTGAGGAAGAAAGAAATAAAATTCTTTTCAACCCATTTATTTCTTGGAGGCATTCACATGAAAAAAGTGGCCTCTCATATGCTGCAGTCCTTGAGACGACTGTCCTCTTCTGTTTTACTAGAGATTACACTTAATTTTTGAAGCTAAAGCTAATGGAGTAGGAAGGAAGTACAGACAGTTTCTGAAGGTAAAGAATGTCTCTCACTTGACTAATGTGACATGTTATGTCAGGGCTCTCAGCAAGGCTTAGACCAAGACACTACATCAAGCTAGTTATGACCAATTTCAGATAATGTATTTTGGGATTATAGTTGATAAGGGCAACTTTTGGTTTTATTATCAATAAAAATAATCTTTTTAACATAATTTATAGGATAGAGTAACTTTTTTTAAAAAAATATCAAAAAAGGGTAAAAACATTGTTCATATCCTTCCTCCTTCATATAAGTTTCTCTAATGTCGGTGGCAATGGCACCTTGTCACGGGGCTAATCGACGGGGCCCTGTGCGGCGCTCGATTGGGGTCGAGAAAGCCTACAATTGCAAGCAACAACACACAAAAGGAAACAAGAGTGCACACAAATTAGACAAAAGGCAACTTGTATTGCATTAATTAGTGGTAAGCACAAGCACACAGTACAGTGTCGAGGGGATCTCGTGCTTAACCTTTACACGCTTATGAGCTCACTCGACTACCTACCTCCCCTCAAAGAGTACGTTAAGCTTTTGGGG